ATGTAAATGTGTTAAGAGTTTCAATCTATTTTTAAACTCTGATAGGCAAGAATTCCTCTTATGGTTATATAAATTAAAATGATTCAGAAAATAGTATCAGATTCAAATTACAGAGCTAATAATGTATTATATTATAAAAATAAAATTGAGAAAGAAATGCAACAAATAAGAGACGAACACATATATGCATACACACATACATATATGTATAATTATTTGAAACATCCATATCGTACAAAATTATATATACATATATACTTACATACATACATACATATATGTTTTATATATATATATATATTATTCATTTTGTAGGATATGGGCATTTTAATGAAACATTACATTCTTATGTGAAAAAGTGTACTAATATTGGCACTTTTTAAATATTTCTACAATATACATAATTGAATATTAATATTGATTTTGAACATTATGATATATTAATAAGTAATGCGTGCGTGCTTGCGTCGTGTGCGCGCACGTGTATGTGTACACGTGCGCGTACCGAGCAGTTTTTACGATATGACATATTTCGATTAGCTAGATTAGTTTAACGAAATAAATCTTTAGTTTTGTTTTTCCATTTACTTATCATCGCTCATAGTATATTAATTAATACTAGATAGACAGAGTTTTAATTTCCTAACAAACATTATCGATAAAGTATTTTTTCGAGTACTTTTTCTACTTCTTAATGAACGAACTTTTTTAATTTCATTCATTGGTCCCTCATTCTTAATCGCACTTTAAGCAGACGATCGCAATTTCATTTATTTATTTACATTTATTGGAAAATTCATGTCTATTCACATTAGTTATCGAATAAATATGTATTTTTAACCGCGTATTTTTAGATTAACAAATAATGTAAAAAAATATTCGGTATAAAATAATACTCTTCTAAATCTAAGACAATATTTGACAATATTATAAATACACTGTGAATGACAAATTATATATTAAGTGTGATGTAATTTTTCACAGTCTCACATGTATTAAAAATACATATCCAAAGTATTAAATATATATCATATACATATATATGAAAGCAAAATTTGTCCCGATTATATATGAAACTATAAAACTATAACAGTAATTATAATAATTTACGTTTGCTCAATTTTCGAGCTTTAACTTTCTCGATACAATTAATTTGCGTTAAAATAAAGCTAAATTTGATATCTTTTTATTTTATTTCAATAATGAATTTACTTTTTTTTTATAGTGTAATCTGTTACAGATCAAAATATATTTTTGTAAAACATATGTATTAAAATCAAATAAATAAAATATTCTACAAACATAAGTACCATTGGCTATAATTGGTTATAATATCAGAACTATAATTTAACATTGTTTCAGCAATAATTGATTATTTATAATGTATTTTACATAATATTAGTAAAATTGTTATAAGAATTTTAAGAAACCTCTCTCTCTC